GTACAGACCGGACAATAATCGCCCGGACACATGTTGTCAGCACTGTTGCCAACAAGTATCCCATCAAGTCTAAACAAATTGACAGATACTCCGCAACATAGAGCCGATGTTGGGCGGAAAGACATCAAAGGATTTTGTTTGTTGTATGTATCCATGTTTTCAATCTGAAATGGAAAACATCGCTTGGTCTGGACGGTGTTGTCGACAAGTAACGTCAAAACAGTACATAGTGAGATTAACTTTCGTTGCTTTATTTTATTTTCTACAGCTAGTGCGTACCTTAAATAATATTAGTCTTATCTATGTGGGCCTATTTTTCATAGGCAACGTGGTATTTTTCGCTGTTTTTTGTTATTAAAAAATAATATGTTTGTTTAAAATTGTTTCGATTTTTTTTTAAAGTTACTATGGACTCGTAAACGAATCTCCTGTAGCGATATATAGCAGAGCAACCATCAATCTGATTGATGGTGGAATCGCAGCTCTGTAGTTCGTATTTTTTTTCAATATTTTATGGGCTACCAGAGGACTTCTTTGAAATTGCGAAATTGCGGAACGAACTACCAACATTCAAAAGTAACTTCGCCATTAAGTTGTCACCATAGCTTAACCCATTTTGTGAAAACTTTCGCTGTCAATATCTTCTTTTCCGTTTCTAGATATGGGAAGCAATTATGATGAAAGCAGCACTAATACCATCAGCAGTAGATAGATCCATTTTTAAATGCCACTTGTAAATACTGCGTTTAATTTGGACGCTAACTGGTTTTGATTTTGACGAGCAACACTGTTGACCACATGTATCTGGATACAAGTTGTTGTATCCAACAAATATATTGCCAACATCCGTCAACATGTTGCCAACAGTTAGCAACATTTTGTTGCTGGTTTGTTACCTTTACTGAACGCTGCTTCATTACTTAACCTTTTAAAATAGTTTGTACAAAACATAATTTCACAAGTATCATCCTTAACTATATAAATTTTTTGTTTGCTTAGAAAAGTAATCACATTGCCTTTGTATTTTTTCTTTCTAACTGACTGACCAATCATCTTCTCGCGTGATGGTGTTACTTGACTTGTGGAATATATTTTGTTGACGCTTACATATCACAAGGGGGTGACGTATTCGTTTTTTCTATTTTAACGTTGTGGAGGATGGGTTACTCTCACGGCACTTAGGCCTTACTGGGCCCATTGTGCATCCTCCTAAGATGATAGGCACCTCCTAGCTCGTGAGCCAGCCTTCAGATTTAATATAGTTGACAACGTAGCCAAGAGATGTTCTCTTATATCGGCCGGTGTTAGCCGAACACAAATCTCTTAATAAATGAGAGGGTTGAGCAATCGTAGAGGATATGTTCGATGATCTCATCTTCTTGTTCGCACCCTCTGAAGAGTGCCGATTCTGAGAGCTCCATGATAAAGAAATGCTTCCGTACTTGGCAATGTTCAGTCAGAATGCCTGTGACTAGGCGCAGATTCTGTCTAGTCATAGTCAAGTATTTGTTTGCTGCAGTGTTGTCAGGATAACTTAAAAGCTCCCTGGCAACTCTGCAATTTCTTGTTTCATCCCATATTTTCTTGAATTTCACAAGGAAATGTTTTTTAATTAGATCTGTCACTACCGATTTTGTCAAGTCAACAGAAGGGCCAGAAAGTATTTGCTTTCTTGGCCAGTAAATCAGCAAGACGGTTACCTTTCGATGTCGCGTGACATCACGTGACAATCCTACATTAGGTTCTATTTCAACCGTGCGAAGGCGTGTTATTGTCGTCAGAACAAGCTACTTGATGTAAATATCAAAGGGTGTGGGATACGAAATGACTTCCCTGGCTCTGTTCGATGTTGTTTTCGTGGCTCCTGTTATTTTGAGACATGCTGTTCTTTGAATTTATTCTAGTTTACGGAGAGCTATCAATTTTTGGGTTTTTGGTACCCAGACAACTGCACCATATGTTAGCATAGGTCTTATGATATCAGTGTCCATGTGATGACTTTGGGGGAAAAACTACAGGTGCGTCCCACGGTTCGGCGGCACTGTTCACAAGCAATGTTGCTTGACTAGGTTTTCTAAATGCGAGTTCCATGTTAACTTGCTGTCAAAGGTGAGACCTAAGTATTTCACTTCTGTTGCAAATTTTAGTTTTGTGTTTAGGAGTTCTGAAGGTTTTAATTCCATTTTCATCTTCTTCCTTCTACAGGGTCGGCGTAAGATACAACGTTGAATAAATAACAATTTATGTTATTTTAAATAGTTTCAAAACAGAGAATATATAAGTTTTACGAAAATTATAGATTTTATACCAAAATAATATTTATTATATCATATTCCTCAGGACATCTGAATTTTGGTTGATTTTATATATAAATTGTCTAGAAGTTTATTAAGATTTACAAATAAACAAAAAGAATGATTTTGTAGAGTAAATGATTTACGATAAGGAGTTTAAAACTTTAATTTTGAATTATATAGATTATTTAACGCTATTATACATCACCATGGCAATCATCTTTGATTTAAATAGATGTCAATCAACACAAACTATCTAAAAACACTGTATGTTACAGTGTTTTTACTCAATCCTAATTGGATTTAAAAAACTCAATTCATTACCAGAATAAGGTATTAATTATTCACACGAAACGTCAATGTGAAGTTTGTCAAAGAAAATTGAAAAATGAACACAAATCGTTTTGGTTATTAAAATAAACATTTAAAATACAAAATCGACATCATCTTATGGAAACAAAGCAAATATTGTTTATAAAAGTTCTGTTTATATTGTTAAATAATCTTTCCAAACACCACGCGAGGTGAGAATTTTTTTACGAACATTTTATTGTTTTCTTACAAATTAAGCAAACTTCACTCCACAAAATCCTCCCAAAATACCACTCGACTAATGTTTCCAAAGAAGCAACAAAATGTTCCCAAAACATTCTCACCTTTTGTGGTATAACCCTTGATAATTTTTTCTTAAAATTAAAGATGCTTATGACCCCCTAATATGTCCGCCACTGATATCGCTCCGAGTCCAAATCGATTGGATAAGGACAAAACGTAAGGCTAACACAAAAGCGATGTGCCAGACAAAGTTTTTGGTGGTTTCGATAGTCTAGGAAGAGCTGTTGGAAGTTGTTTCTATTCAATAGTATTGTGCATTGTAGCAGTTTGTTTTTCAAAAGATTCAATCTCGAAATGATTGTGTTGAATGTCTTTTCTAACTAATTCTTCATAAAGATTGAATGAAATTGATTTTATTTTAATTATTTCTATGGTTCTGAAAAAAAAATGGTTGAATAGAACTTGAAATTTACAAATAAAAAATGATTCTCACTATTAAAATCATTATATTTATTTTGACAAAACCTTTATAGATTTTGTTTTTCTGAGATTATCTTTTTAAAGGAAAACTTTTTTACACTTCTGCTCTATTTTGGCACTACCCATCCCTCTCGATAACGATTTATCTATATGTCAATCCATTGATACATGAAGCCTTATTCCAATTCATACCACTTTTTTATGATATGTTTTTATCCAACAACTTTTAGTTCTTTTTTTATGTTATCTTTACAACTTGTTTGGTTTTCTAGAATTTTCCCATTTCTTAATGTCTAAGTCAATGTTAGACAAAATATCATCACAATAAATACTATTCTGTAACAAGTTAAGTAAAAATATTAACAAGACTCGTTCCTTCTTAGTTTGATAAAGTATCACAAGAGTAATGGCAAAAAGTTAAAATAGATAAATTTGGCAACACTGCACAAGCAAACATAAATAGATCACTAAAACAACAGCATCGAAGTTTAGCCATTAACTGATATAACTTCTCCCATTTGACTTAACAATCTCAATTTTGTCATACTGTACTAACATCTAATTAATTATATATTCACAACCTCCTCCATGCCCATGAACAGAATATAATTTATAACCTCCAATCCATTTTCGTAAAAAAAGAGGAAATAGTTCAGATGCTTATCTCGAAGTATGCCATCAAATCACACTGTAACGACTAAGTATATAACGAGAGCCTCATAACTAACATTTCTCCTGAAAATTATATTTTATAATAATCTTGTTTAAAACATTTTTCATCTACTGTTTAATAAGCAATTAATGATTTTATATCTCTTTGACGTATATAAACTGTATTACAATTTTTTAATAAAACATGGCTAAATATTAGTCCGATTATAGAGTAAAATGAATTGTTCAATGAACTTGTGAATCGTTTTTTGCAACTTATGATGTCCTGCATTGTGTCCCTCGTTAACAAAACTAATAATAGAGCTATAACAGAAAAGTAAAGCTGGGAATAGCTTAAAAAACCTGTATTTATGTTGTTCTTGCCATCAAGATCTAGCAGCAACATTTAGAGGGCAGCTTTCTTGTTGGCACTCTACTTGTTACGAGTTACAAACCAAATACGGCTGGAAAAGTGGAGAAGCACTGGCAACAGAACCAAATTACGTTTCCAACTTACCGCGTATATGTAGATGAAACCGACCTTAGGGTGGTCCAAAACAAGGTGGTGAATGTAGTTGGTTAATTTTCTCTCACAATATATGAACGGTCAGTAAATGAAGGGTACTCCACCCATCTTTATTGCAGCAGTGCATCCAAGTGGATGGGTGTAGATAAATTGGTTTACACAATGGTTTAACCATTTTATAGCTGCAATAAAATCTTATGGATATTCGCCAGTGCTATTATTACTTGATGGCCACTACAGCCATACATGAAACGTTATTATTATGACAAAAGAAAACCATGTGGTGATTATTTCCTTACATACCCCACTAAACTTATAACTTGCAGCCCCTAGACAAGACTTTTATGGGGCTCCCTAAGGTCTACTATAGTGAAGAAATGCGACAATGTATTATCCATAATAATCGTCCGCTTACCTAGTATGACGTCGTAAGACCCAAAATGTTGAAATTGCTATAAATGGTTTTCTGACGCAGATTTCATTCCAGCTGAAATTTAGGCGAAGTTACATGGTACAGCTAAAACTGAATTGAGTTTGACGAGATCTTCAAAGAAACAGGCTAACAATCCGAACAAATCTGAACAACAAAAATTGGATGATGATTATAAGTTTTAAAACAGGAGTGTTATACTGTATAACACAATTTCAAGCAAAACCAACAAGAATCACCTGATACAAAAACTAAAACGGATTCTTTTGGTTCACAGAAAAACATCATAACCCCATTAGATATCTTTTCAGTGCCGATGACAAAGAAAAAATCGAGGTAGAAAAGTATCTGGAGCCACTGTAATAACTTATTCGCTAAGAACGCTAATAAAGAAGTTTCCAGCAAAGTTGTTAAAAAGTATAAAAGAAAGTTTTTTATGAAGAAGCCAGTAAGATTTTGAAAAAAAAAGTGTGCAGAAAACTACAGATTCCTCCGACGACGAGACATCATTTTTTTCAGCAGACAAGGATCAAGATTTAGATGAAATTCCTAGAAGAAAAACCAGATGATGAAGATGCTCATTACCTTTTTTGTGATGGAAAGTTTTGTGAAGATTCACGCGGTGAACTGTTAGTACAATGTCCGATGTGTAAGATGTGGAGTCATATGTCTTCGATTATTGCACTTAGTGGAAATAGAGCTATAAAAATTCATCTTGTTTACTTATTTTTTTACGATAGCCCAAATTTATAGCACGTTATCATTTGGTTCCATAGGGACATGTAACAAAAATAAATAAAATAGAAAAGACGAGATACATTTACAAAAAAATTTAGCTTAGTATAGAAAGATTAAAAGTTTTTTGTGAAATAAAATGCTATGTTGTGAACAAAAAATATTGCAAACGGTAGCCTATATTTGTACCCTTTTCTCTAAAAGAAAATAAAATGTATCCCTTTAAATGATGGAAATGTTAGATAACAATATTATCCAACTAGAACATGTTATGTTTTCAAATGAATGCACTTTTACACTTCACAACCATAATAAAACTGTTGCTACTAGTACGAAAATTCTCACTGGATGAGAGAAGAATATAAACAACACCCTGAAAAGGTTAATGTTTAGGCAGAGATAGTTAGAAAACATGTTATTGGTCCCTTTGTCTTTGATAACAGTTTGAATGAAGACAATTAGCACTGCTTCAAAATAATGTCGTGCCAACTTTGGCAAACTTACATTCTGGTCAAGCAAACTTACAAGTTTCAGCAGGATGGAGCACCACTTACATTACGAAAACAATGTCCGGCAGTACCTCGAACAAAATTTGCAAACCGGTGGATAGGAAGGCGAGGATCAATAGAACTGCTAGCACGATTACCAAATATTGCGCTATTAGACTTGCTATACAAAATTAAATCATGGGATTTAGCTGATTTAAGAAGAAGAATAACGTTTGGTATTAAGTCGGTAACGCCTCAGATGTTGATTAACATTAAGAGAGAATTTTATTTACGATTAGGATGCTGGCAGGACGTTCGAGGCATGGCATTTTGAACATTTCCTACAATATGTATGGGAATAGCATTTACTCACTTATATACTTATATTCTTAAGGAATATAAGTGTTACTTATTTGTCACTTAGTTTATAGAGCTTGTCAAATCTGATAAGATATTTATAAAGATTTATTAATTAATCGTATTATAGGTAGATTGACGTATTTTGGTATCTTTTATAAATATGCACAGTAATTTGGCTGTTAGACACTGTATATGATACCAAATATCCATATTTTGTCTATTATACTCTAGATAGCATTATAAGCAAGCGTGTATATAGAAATATTTCTCTATCATGGAAGTTGATATAGTATTATTTAATCATAAAACAGTCAACATGGTTTTTTATGATTTAAAACTAGTCAAAATAAACAAATTTACTTTTTTGTTACATTTTCTTCATAACATTTTTGCTCAGCCAGTAGAAAGTTAAATTTTAAAATTCCCGCCGCAAGCGGCCATATTGAATTTAGTACCACTCCAATTTGATAGATGGCAGCACATGGCCTCATAATTTTACCATTGAGTTTCCCATCTATTAACATTACCCTAATCTATAGTTACCTCTTAGCAGCACTAAGAGCTCAAAATTGAATAAAAGTTATATTGTAATTAATTTTGATATCATTTGATATTATCCTTTAATACTGACAATTCAAATATTTAATAACTATCGTACCAAAAAATGTTATATGTGTTATGTCGAATTTAAATTTTGATCAAGATTTATTTAAACTATGTAAAGAGATTGAGGAAATGCAAACTCCTATTGCTTTCACCGAAAAGAAATATTTTATTTTGCAGTTAAATAAAAAATATTTAATTAAGGTTTGCCCAAATTCATTCGGAATTGTAACATATTTAGCCAACTAATAAAAACAAGCTTCACCCCTAGCCTATGAGCCCAATAACACCAGAACGCTTGATACAACAGCCGAAGTTTTTGGGGTAAGTTAAAAGTAGGGTCTGACATAAAACGTTGGGCTGGTGCCTGCCGTCCTCGGTTCGATATCGGTCCAGATATTTTTGGCACACCGCCAAAACGCCGCCGAACCGAAATGGGGAGAATCACTACGATGTGGATGGATCGGATATAAAAGGGGGGAAAAACTCGTAACCTAGTTTCGCTTGATGCCAGATGACAAATTCAGGTCGCTTACAGCTTAAGTCTTTGATTAATTATTCATTAATAATTTGAAATCCATGTAAAGGTAAATTCAAAATCATTGGTCTGCTACGATTAATTATTTTAAGCATTTTCAGTTAGTAAATGGATTATGATCACTTAATCCGCGCACTGAGGTATTAATATTTCCGTACATTTAGAAGAATCTCTTCTATCAATCTCGATCATCAATATTTAACAGTTTGACAGATGATTTTTTAACAATCACATAGACTAATATCGATTTGCATAACATCTATCATTACCGTCTTTTAAATGTTAAGTTTAAATCCTATTGCAGTATACAATCTCTCGGTATAGAGATCCCTGTCTGACTTGTATTTTTATAGTTTTTAGATTCGACATTTAAGTATTTGAATGTTACATCCAGTATGCTTTGCATTATTAATTTTTATTTAATCCTATTTTTGACAAACAAATTTATTCAAATCATATTATAAACTAAAATATTGTAAATATTAATTTGTATAATGTAAAATCTTGACAAAAGAAGACCGTTACTCTGAAATATCTAATTGATAAAGATATATCTTTACCACTTATGGTAATTTCCCATAGGGCGGGTAGCAGTAAATCCTACTCGACTGCGCCATGTAACTGGACAATTAGTAACTGGAATGGCGTCGAGATCGATGATTTATAACCACTGCATCTATATTTCTGTAATGCAAGCGCTCAGTTTGGTTTTAATTACGTCATTAAGTGAAGAAAAACGAATAAACAGCGGGTGAATGTACTGTTAGGAGTCATGCTTAAGCGTTATACGAGGTGATATAATTTAATTCTTGAAATGAGTATAGCATCGCTCATCACTAATTATATCAAAGTAAGCTGATTATTCGTGCTTAAATTTCAAGATGGTGTGTTAGGAATGTGTGAAGAATGCTGACAGAGTTTCCTTATCCAATACGTTTTTCATTGAGATTCGTGTTTTTTTTCTGAATCTTAGATAATATTGCAAGCATTTTCTGTGTCGACAAAAGGCTGAATATGCAAAAAATTGTAACCTTGAAATAGGTATGAAATATTTGACTACCAACTAAAGCATTTTTTGTTGAATAGTTGGATATTAACTTTTAACTAGAACAAGGCACGTTCCAAATTAGACACAAAGTGTTTGTACTACTTTGTCAAAATTTATTAAATAAAAAATATGTTTTACACAAAGTTTAGAGTCCTGTATTTCCATTAATGGGATTTTTAAATTAAAAATTTCCAACTGAAAATTTATCCAACATGCTATGTGGGTCGCGAATTTGTTAACACTCCGTATATCTACCCTTTTACATACTCAATCGGCCATCTTTGATCATCGCATTATAATTGGTCTTGCTTTGATATCAGGAACAGACCAAATCGGATTACTTATAGGGAAATGACATTTTAATCTAATCTGGTATTGGCACTCCTTTCTAAGGAGTTTGATAACTATTTCCGGGTTGAAATCGGATTCTGGTTTATCTCTCACTATGGGCGACCACAATCTCTTTTAGCGTTAGATTCAACGGCCATTATTTTGTGATAATACGAATTAGATTAAGAGTGCAGAATTGGATTAGTTATTTAGATATCTGAATATGTATTTAAAAGAAATACTATTTGGTGAATAGTAAGATTGTAGGATTGGTGCTGTTAACTTATTTAATAAATCGTATGGGAAATAAGAAGATTTGTCAAAAACAGTAAATAAGGTTCATATTTGATGAAGTAAATCAGTGATTAACCCTAATATCGGAACACAGTTCAGTGTTGACAATGTCATGTCAAGTCAAGTCATTTGTCAATTATATATAAGATGTCCGAATTGTAACGAGTCTCGTAGTCGAGTAAACTATTACAAATTAGTGTGTTGTTTAATTGCCCTTCTTGGCAAAAATATGATACATAGTATCATCTTTTTAGATCATAAGATCATAGTACCAGAAACACTACGTCAATTTGTAATTAATATCTTACACAAAGGTCATCTAGGATTGAGTAAAACAATAAATAAAGCTAGGCAATTATTTTTTTGGCCCAAAATGTCCAAAGATATTAACAGATTTTACTAAGAAATGTCATGTATATGAAAAATACCAAAAAAATACTTATAAAGAACCACTTCAGTTAAGTGACATATCTATGTTACCATTCGAAAAAGTAGGGATGGACATTTTAGAATATGGTTCAAGCGCTTATTTAGTAATTGTTGATTATTTCTCACATTGGATAAATTTAACACAGATAAAAGATAAAACATCTCATTCTGTAATCAATGCAATGCAAGATTGTTTTACAAAGTTTGGATATCTCCAAACTATTATTATAGATAATCTTCCTTTCGTTGCGAATAAATGTAAAAATTACTATCAAAGTAAAGATATAACTATTTTCACGTGTACTACCCACTACCATCAAAG